TAACCACTAGGCATGGAAGGTTCCGTATTATTTCTAGTAACTTCTACTAAGTTCCTTTTCATCACATAACACATGTCCGACGTCTATGTACATATATTGTACTTTAGTTTGTTAACATGGTATCTATATTTTCCTGGGTGAATTTTCGCTGTGTTGAAACTGTCTGTCGGTTCAGTCGCAACGGCAACAATGGAATAGTCATTCTGTTGGGAATTACCGGTCGCGTCGCGACGCTATAAACAGCAGTCCGTCATTAGAGAATTTGTCCATTAGTGTGGTGTCGATAGCGCCGGCAAATCCCACGGCCGCAGTTCGACAAATTCGAGCAGATTTGGTCGAATCTCTGTCCCACCGAGATTATTTCACATCTCGAAACGCGCAATTAATCGAACAAACTCGCTCTCATTCAGTAACAGCACAACCGACGAATTATTTATGAAATATCGGAGCGGCAAACTTGCCGCATATCAATTAAACTCGATACACTGCACTATGTACGCCGTTTTGTAGCGTTATTACAACCATAAAGGTTTAATTCGTGCTGGTCATGCAACAGAATCCAAAATTAGAAGCTTATTCCAAGTGCAGGTAGCTACTGTTACTTAACACTGAAACTTAAACTCAAGCACAAAATTTCGACGAACACAGTTTTTGTAGGAGTGGCCTTATAAACTTATGATGAGGATACCGTTGATAGAGAAGGTTAGAAATGAGGAGGACAACAGAGGGCGTTGTGGAAGTCAATATGAATTAGGTGAGTTAGGTTGGTGGGACACCTTCTCAGGCAGGAAGGTCTATTTAGAAGGAAGGTAGACCTAGATAAGATCATTGTTCACCAATGGTTAAGGATGTGGGATGTTCTACTTGTAGGAAAATGCGACGATTGACTTAGGATAGGAAGGAGCGGTGGTGCGTGTCCAACCAGTCTTAGGACTGACAACTCTGATGACGATTGTGCAGACGTGAGATAAAAATTATCCGGAGACTGCTCGAAAATTACGTTCTTGAACTCCAGTTCTACTAGAATGTTTTCAAATAAATTAGTAGGGAATTTGGCTTGATGTTTTTAATAAGAAGGTTTCTTACATACGAACTAACAACTTTAAACTAAAGAACAACTAGCAAAGGAGGTGGAATCCAATTGAAACATCTCATGGTGGTGGATAAATGTTGGAATTTCCTGAATGTCGTCATAGACAAGGGAGTTTCAAGTGCAACCAGATACAGAAAATTTCTTATAATAAGTAAGAAAAAGCCAACAATGAGCTAGGTTTTAGTGACAATCAGAAATACTTTATTTGTAGGTACTACCAGAAACTACGTGAATTCCTCATATACATTTTGTCTTTATAACAATGAGAATATTCACAAAATATCATAAAGCCTAACAATAGTAGAAAGAAATTTATGGCCTAAACAGTTTCAGAAATGTTTGAAGAAATGTTATAAAGCTGAACTGAACGAAGCAACATAGAAATTTGAAATGTAATGAAAGTAAATAATTACACTAGATCTAACTAAACGGAAATGTTTTTGAATTAAAATAATTGTAAAAATACAGATAATTAATAGCACTAAACAAGGATGTTTAATTGAAAAGTGATTATTCAGAAACTAATTGCCAGTAACCATATATTATGGAATAGCTTGTACCTATAGCTTTTTCCTAAAACTGAATGAGAATGAACGTACTCCTGTTGTTGTAGGTAAACACAACAATTTTTATTATTTCATAGGAATATATTGTGATGTTTTTGAGTATTGCCTTTTTAATTCCTTTTTAAGGAAACATTTCTTGAAATAAGAAATCCACTTGTCGGAAACAATGCCTCGTCCTCATCGGGCCTTTAAATACAGACTAAGCAGGTCGAAGCGAACAGAGTTCGGAATTGTACAATGAAGCTTTGAAAGCTGTTTTTCGATACAAACGTAAAGCGACCCAGTTCCTTTTAAAACCAATTTTGTCGTAAACGGTTATCAGCAGCTTTTCGGACTCGGTATAAAAAATTCAAATTGAGTCCTTTCCGTCAAAGGAAAAAGGCATTTTCGCAACAAAACAGGAAGCGCTTGATTTATTATCCCTTAATGTAGAACTCTTTTGAAGTGGGTGCTTGATTATCCTTTTGAGTTGTTATTCCTAATAACGTGTATCCTTCCTTCCTCAACAAAGTGAGTTAATGAAGCTTTATTCTTTTCGAAATCCTCCAATAATATAGATATTGCCCTATATACGGTATAATGTGCAAAAGCAAAATATATAAGCTACATCACTTAAATTCAAATTGCTATGTGCAAATAATAATGATTGGATCGATTCTAAAGCAGAGGATAGCGCAGGGTCGTGTCGCTTTCAATAAAAAGAAGTCACTTCTATGCT